AGTCACCTTCTCCCTGGCATCGACTGGGCCCACCTGCGCCCAGTGGGGGCTGAGCGCCCCCGTGGCCTCCGCACCGCCCTCGTGGCCTCCGCACCGCCCTCGTGGCGCGCGCGCGCGCGGGTGGACGCTCGTCCGCAGCGCGGGGTCCTCAGCAGCCCCGAATCAGCTGGGTGTGTCCTCCCCGCCAGGAGTGAGATCAGGTCCCCCCCCTTTCTCCCATGAACCCCAAGAGTTTCTCGGAGGGGTGGTAGGCAGGGCGAATGCTGTCCCTGCGCGGCGGGAGAGCCGGCCCGGAGGAGGTGCGCGGGCCTGAGGTCGCAGGTCCACACGGTCTGCGCTGGCTGAGCGCGAGGTGGCCGGGCCGCTGGGAGCGGGTGGGGGAGAGCGCTGGGGGCGGTGGGGCTGAGGCTGGGGTCCCTCCTGCCTGACACTGCGCTGCGCCGCAGACCCCTCTGCGCAGGGAGTCTGGACGGGGTCCCCAAAGCCCCTCGCCACCTGCCCCTTCTCTCCCCCTGGACCCTTCTTTCCACCTGCCCCTTCTCTCCACCTGCACCCTCCTATCTACCTGCCCCTTCTCTCCACCTGCCCCTTCTCTCCACCTGCCCCTTCTCTCCACCTGCACCCTCCTATCTACCTGCCCCTTCTCTCCACCTGCCCCTTCACAGACTTGGAGCTGCTGTCCCTTCCTCCACGCGGAGTTCGCTGTTTCCTTGTGGGTGCCCCAAATCTGGGTCCTCTCAACAACAGTCCTCCTGTGTGTCCCCTTCTTTCTCCCAAGCCGCTCCACCCCGCCACCCCTTCCGCGGGCCCGAGACCTGGACCACCCGACGTCCCGAACCCACTGTGCTCCCACCCAGGGCACCCAGGTCCCAAGCGCCCCTCACCCCAGCAGCTCCTCGCCCAGCGGCCACAGCCCTGCTCCCACTGCTGCCCGACGCCCTGGGGCGACCCGCTGGGTCTGCCATCTACACCCCTTCGCTCAGCTCCCCGCCTGACCCAGAAGGGGATTCACAACACCCCCCACCAGCCCACTTCCTCCCTCCCCGTCTGCAGGCTGTGCAGGAACATGCTTATTAATATTAAATTGTACTCGATTTCCCAGGAAACGCTGTGCTCCACCAAGATATCTTTTTAGCATTTGGCTTTTTCCATGTGTTATTATTTTTTGAGGGGCTTGTTTCCCTGCTGGGGGGGGCGGTGCCTTTGTCAGGGGTTAGCACTGGGGTGCTCTGAGCTTTGGAAAAGAATGGAAGGGTCCGAGCTGTTCTTTCCTTTGCTCCAAAGCCTAGTGTCCAGCCCCGCGGCCCGTGGCCCATCCTGTGCCCAGCATCGGGCACCAACAGCTCCCCAACTTCCAGCCTCCCCCAGGAAACCGCCCCCTGTAGGCAAGGAATGTGGGGGTTAGTGTCCCCTGGGAAGGCGTCCCTTCACAGACACGTGTGTGTTGTCACCTCGACAAGGTTCCTCCTTCCTCGTGGTTTTCAGAGCAGTGCCCGTCTCTGGGGTCGGGCTCCTCCCCACCCCGTCCCCGCCAAGTGGGGGCTGGGCCAGATGGAGCCCAGAGTAGCCAGTGCAGAGGGCAGGGGTGCAGGCCCCAGTAGTGGGCCTGGTCCTGGCTGGGCAGCTGGGTGGGCGGTGGTGGTGGTGACCTGGCTCAGAAGAGCCAGCCGGGGGGAGGCCAGGCCGTGGGAGGAGGGGAGAGGGGACCCCACTCTGAGAGCGGCCTCCCAGGCCCACAGGGCGGGAGGACTGGGCAGGGAGCTCTGCTGGGCAGCTTTACTGGGTGGAGTGCACAAGCCTGTGGTGTGGGCCTTTCGGGGGCCGAAAGGGGCCAGACGCTCCCAACCTGTGGGAGCCCACTTCAGGCATATAAATGGGGTCCAGATTGAGGTGTCAGCGGCTAAAGGTTGCAAGGTCCCTGACCAAGTAAGGGAGATGTTCTGTGTCCCCCTGCCCTGGGCAGTGCCCCCTTCCCTGAGCGGGGCAAGGCCCAGGGCCAGCCCCCAACCCAGCCCAGAGGTCCGGAAGTTCAGCTTTGTTGGAAGCGCCTCCCTGTGCCTGGGGGGGAGCCCCTCATCCCCGCCCTCTCTCCCTCGCGTCCCAGCTCCATCCTAAACCCCCCAAACAGCCACCCTTTGGGAGACCGAAGCAGGGAAGAGCCCACAGCGGTGAGGGAACCCGGGCACCAAGCACCCGCAGTTGGCCTGGAGGGGCCCACAGAGGGGGGCCAGGCTCTCCAAGGCAGGGGCCGGGCGCCAAGGCCGCCAGTACCAGGAACGGGTATAACCGGCGCAGGTAAATCAAAGCAACACACCAATAGCCCTTGGGTTTTGTTTATTTTTCAATAAACAAATTTTTTGCTTGCCTGGATAGTGGTAAACGGGAAAGCTAAAAAGAGCGCCATTGACATCTGTAAATGTTTTGGTTACAAAACGATCGTCTCGCCTTCTCCTCTCTCAATTTTGGGACCGAATTGGTGATCATGTCTTAGACAGCTGTCTTTGAGCTTCTCCGTTTGTTTCGTAAACTACACACTACTCCAAACACACGCGAGGTGTGGATGGGCAGCCAAAAATCCCAACACTCTCAGCAGAATCTGGTTACCCCAAAGAGGATGGAATGGACCATTTCTGCGTGACGTGAAGACCGTGGCGAGGCTGCTGACACTGTTCTGATCTCACGGGATATGTGGGCACTGTGGAATTTAGGGGGGCTCATGAGTGCTCGTAGGACATCCTTTGTCGCGTGGGGAGGGGAGGTGGTGGAGCTCCTGGGGCGCCTGCTGGGGCGCCCTGCTCCCCCGCAGGTGTCTGCACTACGCTGGCCTGCAGGGACACGAGGTCCGCCCGCCCGACTGCCCGCATCCTGTGCCTGCAGCTCCGCGCCGCCCCACGCAGCAGCGGCTTGGAGATGCTTCTGACCAATGGGTGAGGATGGAGGGTGGTGGAGGAGGCTGGGTCGCCCCCGGGGGTGGGGTGGGGTGCTGTACTCCACAGCACGGAGATCAAAAAAGAGGGAAGTAAATTTGATCATTTCATCCAATCTGAGAATTTCGCACATTGGGACACTGAAGATCAGAACTGTCAGCGGCTCCATCAAGGTCTCACGCTGAGAGCGGCCTGGCGGGCACCAGATGCCCGCCGGGCACGTGCCAACAGTTCTTTTTTTTTGTCTTTTTTATATTTTTATATCTTCAAACAAACTCAAAGTGGATGAGATGATGATTCAAATGACTTGGGGAGGGAGGAAGGGCCTGGGGCGTAGGGCAGCTGAGACTGGGGTGGGGTGGGGGAGGGGATGGGCCACAACTGGGGCTCAGGTGGGGAGGGGTCGGCAGCGGTGATGCCAGACGACAGGGTTTGGGGATTGAGGGCCAGGGTTTGGGGATTGAGGGCCAGGGCTTTGGGGATTGAGGGCCAGGGTTTGGGGATTGAGGGCGGACTCTGGAAATGAGGGCAGGGAAGGGCCAGGAGGAAACCGTGGATGGATTTGTGGTGAGGCTGGGAGGGGCTTGGGACACTGGTGATCAGGACTGAAGGCTGAGAGTGGGGAGAGGCTCTTGGGGGGGTGGTGGGGTGATGGGGGTGACCAAGGAGCCGGTGCCAAGGCTGGAGGGGGGCTTGGGAGGAGGATAAGGGGCTGGGAGTGAGGGGACCCATGGCTCGGGGGGTGCGTCGCGAGCTGGGGGGACATGACAGTTGGACTTTGAATCGGGCTTTGAATCAGGATGACGGAGACATGGAGTGGTGGCGCTGGAGGATGGCGTGATGACGATGACGATGACGATATGTGTGGGGAGTGACTGGGTACCGAGGTGGTGGAGGTGATGATGCTTAGAAAGAAATACTTGGAGCAAGGTAAACACGGCAGGCGACACTCAGTAAAGCTAAGAGTATAGATTCCTATCCAAATAATTTAAGAAGCAAAATATTCCTGACTGGTGACCAGGGGCTGTTTAGCTGCGCAACCCGACGAGTCGGGACGCTAAACAGAGCTCTGTCCCCATTCCTTCCATTTTTGCAAAAAAGATAGATGCTCTTCTTTAAAAAAAAAAAATCAAATTCATAATTCCAAGCTGGCTAGGTCTTTCGGGATCTGAGGGCCATCAACTCAACAATGCAACGAGGCCCGGGGCTGCAAGGCGGGTCAGGGCCCGGGACCCTGCAGCCCAGCTCCGGCGCCCGGGAGCGCTTCGGCAAGGGCTGTGCTGCCACTCAGATTGCCAGGGGCACTTGTGGTTGAGGAGCGGCTCTAATCTAGAGGGGAGGAGGCAGGTGTAGTTTCGGGAGGGGGGTGGCAGGGGCTGCCCAAGTGGCACCCCCAGGCTGCACGCTGGGACTCAAAGGGGCCAATTGTTTCCAAGTGGGAAGAGGGCCTGGAGGCCCCCCACTCTGAGAAATGCAGTTAGAATCGATTTCAGATTGTCAAGTGTGCATCCAGGATAGGCCAAAACCTGTGGATCCTGGGATGAGACCGAGTCTTCATCAGATCCTAATTTTTAGGGTCAGGGACTGTTTTGGTTCTACCCCTTGTTCCTAATTCGGAGTTTGAGAGCAAGAGAGGACCTTGGTGGTCACTGCGTCCTGCCTCTCCCTGGAGAGGGACGGAGGAGGTGGGCCCGGGGTGGGGCAGGGACTCGCACAGCGGGGTGGGGCGGGGCTGGGGGCCCCCAGCGCCAACCCGGGTCTCTCTGCCTGACACACGGCCTCTGCACTCCGCAAAATGTCAACTCAACCAGAAAGCGCTAAGGGTCGCGGTGTTGGGCTTGATGTGAGTGCAAGTCGGAGGTGGCGTGTGAGAATTAACCAAGGAAAGAGATCGCAGCCCTTTTCACAGTGGTGGGTCATGCACAGCACTCGTAACGGTTTCACGAGGGCCCCGTGGCCGAGACCCCCCAGGGGGGCGTCAGCACGAGCCCTGGTTCTGTTGCCTTGTTTTTTTTTTTGGTATTTTTGGATTTTTCGTTAAGTTTAGAATAACATACTTATTTCTCTGACTAGTTTAAAGGTGAAATTCTTCTTATTATTTTTTATCATGCATTAAGAGAGAAAGAGGGGTTTTGGCATCGCGTTTGTCACACAGCAACACGAAGATAATAGATGTGAGCATAGCGTTCACCAGATTCAACACAAAAGAGAGCAAATTCCACCACAAAAAGGAAAACAGACCGCATATAGTGAGCTCTGCGCAGCCCCGACACCAGGGAGGGGCCGGCCGGGACGCCGCCTAGACCTCCCCCTCGCCCGCCTCCTTGCTGAAGGTGGCCATGTCGATCTTCTCCGGGCGGCCGGCGCCGGCAGCCAGGTCCTCCCCACTGCCCGACTGCAGCAGCAGGTGCTTCTTCTTGCGCAGCGTGTGGTGGTAGCGCAGGCTGGACACCCAGGCCTCGCACTTGTTGAGGAAGACGATGCCCATGGTGCCCAGCACCACCAGACTGGTCAGCACGCCCAGGATGGTGAAGCAGATGGCCTGGCCCTCGGAGAGGAGGGGGGTGTTCTTGCTGAGCTCCTTCATGGACACCTTGAGGATGCGGTGCTCGGGCTGCGGCACCGGCAGCTCGTGCACCCCAGGGGTCAGGCGGTAGGTCAGCCCGTGGCCACTGGGCAGACGGGTGACCTGCTGGGGGCCCGGCGCGCGCTTCCTGCCACAGGTGGGGCCCGTGAACTCGGCCTTGCACAGGCACTCGAACCTCACCTGGCTGTGCTGCAGGCAGGTGCCCCCGTTCAGGCAGGGGTCGGTGGCGCAGGTGGTCACCGGGCGACTGCAGGTCTTGTCCACGAAGCCGGTCGGGCAGCGGCAGCGGAAGTCGCCCCCGATGTCGGTGCAGATGCCCTGGTTCTCGCACGGGTTGGGGATGCAGCTGCTGGGCACGGCCAGGATCTCGCAGAAGTTGCCTGAGAAGCCAGGGGGGCACAGGCAGGAGGCATGGGAGGCTCGGCCCTCGTCGTCCAGGCAGGTGCCTCCGTGCTGGCACGGGGAGCTGCAACACAAGGACACAAGGGTAAAGGGCCCCGGGGCTGGGCTGGGGTGGGGTGCCGGAGTGTGGGGCATGGGGGGGGGTGTGACCCCTGCCTGCTTTCTCGGGGCTGGCCACCAGAGTGGGGTGCAAACCTCACCCCCTTCCACGGCCAACCTGGAGCACCTGCCCCCCGTGGGGCACCCGGCTCCTCTCCCACCTCTATGGCACGTCTCCGAGAGCGGCACTGCCGGTTAGTCACTGCACAGTGGGGAAACTGAGGCTGAGAGAAGCAAAGTTAGTGACAAGCCAGCGCTCGCTCTGCCACCATGGCCGGTTCCTGATCCTCATCCTCCAGGCGGGCCGGGGGCTCTTGTGTGACCCTCTCCGGCTGCCCGTTACTCCAGCGCAGCGGGCAGGCCACACCGGCCAGAGCAGACGCGGCACCTGCAGCACGAGCGATTTTAAACGAGCAGCCCTTGTCATCTGCTAAATGCCAAAACTCCCGGGGAGAAAGGGGCGTGAGCCTGAGACACCAGCATTGCTGCCTGGGGGGGAGGGGGTGGGGGGGCACCGCACGGACACAGAAGGGATCTAAAGACGGGGGCTCTGCCTTGACAGGCTGGCTCACGTCTGCTAGAGAGAAAAGCGAGAGTTTAAAGGTCTCACTCTGCATTTGCCCCTCTCACTAGCAGGCAGGACGGAGTTCCGTGGCCCCGCTCCCCCACCCACTCTGAACGGGGGTCTGAGGCTGCCGCAGGGCTGCCCACTGGCTGCCCGACGCCGGGGGGCTCCAGGCCACCCACGCTACCCGCGGGGCAGGGGCCAGACCAGCCTACTTTGCAATTTAGCTCTGATTCCTGGGAGAAAGCACCAAGCGCCCCGGCTACCAGCCCGGGCTCTGTCTCCTCTCTCCTGGCCTCAGCGCGAGCCCCTGCGAGGGTACCAGGGCTCCTGCTGCCCCAGCAGTCAGCGACAGGCCAGGCTGAGCTGCCCGCGAGGCAAGGTGAGCAGAGTGCACCTTCCGGCTATTGTGCCCACTGCCCGCCAGTCCCAGAGCCCCGTCCCTGGGAGGGCCGCCGAGAGCCTCCACCCCGCGCCGCGGCAGTCCCTTCTCCCTGCCCCCCAAACCGAGCAGCTCCCCCCAACACCCCCAGAAAACCCCACTGCCAGGTCCCCCAAGCACCCCGACAATCTGCTAAGTGGGCATCACAAACAGCCAGGACTTACTGAACTCTGACCTCTTTCTGTGTTGCCTTTAGAAAACGGCCAGCCCCGCTCCCCATCCCGGCCCCCACCACACACACACCAGCACTCAGGACGTCGGAGGACGTGAAATGGCTTTCGGGGTCATTTGGGAAAAATACAGACAAGACCCCTCTCCCCATTGAGAATGGCTGGCCGGGGGGGCCTGGGGGGGCTCTTACTTGGTCTCCAGGCAGACAAGGGGTCCCCGGGGTCAGGCTCAAAGGGTCTCAGGGTGTGAAGCCGGAGAGAGAAGCAGCCTCCGTGGCTTCGGAGCCGGGACGGACACTCACCCGTTGATCACGCAAGGCCCGTGCTTCCTCCGGCAGTCCTTCCCCGAGAAGCCGGGCGCGCAGGAGCACTCGTAGCTGCCGTCATCCAGGTTCAAGCAGGTCCCGTTGTTGGCACAGGGGGTGGAGGTGCAGGCCCCAACATCTGGGGGGGCAAACCAGACCTCGTCACCCCTCCTCCAGGGAGGTGGGGGGCAGAGCTGGAAGGAAGCGCTTCCTGGGTGGGGACAGGTAGAGCCCCCTGGGTGTCTCTGCTTGTGCCCACTGCCCATGTCAGCCAGTGAGTCCTGAGTGAGAGGGTACAGTCACCCCCAAAAATCCGACAGGGAGGAAACTGCAGCTCAAGGAGACAGAAAAGCCTGGCCATGCACCAACACTCTACCTGGGACAGCCTGGACGCCCACCGCCCCCTGCCGCAGCCTGCCTCCCAGGCAGGTTCTTCACGTCCAGCCTCCCGGCTCCGGCCCCTGCACTCGCGATGACGCAGCCCACTGTGGCCCCCTCTGCCTGTCACAGTTTTCCACCCAGAACCAAGGCACCTGGCTCCTCCCAGCGCCTCACCTCCGAGGGCGTCTGCTCTCGGGTTCTGAAGGAAGGAGCTCCCTAATCAAAAGGCAGCAAAATCCCACCTGTGCAGCACCCCCCCGTGGGATCTCCCCGAGCCCTGGGCTATTCCCGAGGCTGTCTACACCCCTCAAGCGCACCTCATTATAGGGGCGAGCTGAACAAAAGGGTCTGGGGGCTCTCAGGGTCCCTCGCCCACTTACCCAGGCACCGGCTCCCCTGCCCCCTGGGTGGAGACTGTCAGCTTTGCTTTGCTACCATTTCAGCTGTGGCCACAAGGAAAGCGGGGGCCACCCTCAGACCCTGGGAGTGAGCCGGGGGAGGGTCGAGCCAGGCCCCCTGAGCAGGCTGTTTGCCGCTTTTAAAGAGCCCCGCGCCCCCGTGGAGGGGGGGCGGCCATCAATCAATAAGGCCACTGGACGCCTCGCTGAAGGCCCATCCCGAGCGGAGCCGGTGCAAGGAAACATAAAGAGGATTTATCCTGACGGCACCGGCAGAGCAGGCACTGGGCTCCGCAGCTGCCGCCCCCACCCCCCGCCCCTGCTCCCCTGCCACTGGGCGCCTCGAATTGAAGCTAAAGAGCTGGGACCACCCTGGCCCTTTCCTGGAAGAACCAGCCTGAGTACAGCCGACCCCCCCCCGCCCCCCGCCCAGCTGGCCGGAGGAGGCTGTCAGGGTCTCTGAGGGGGCAGCTGAGGCCCCCAGCCAGAGGGGAGCGCCGCCTGCGACCCAGGGGCTACCTGCCTGGACTAGACCCTCCCTGGACCGAGCTGAGAGCCTTTGTCCAGCCAGTGGGGAGACCTTTGGTCTGGAAAATTCCAGCAGGGAGTCCTGGGCTTGGATGCCAGGAAGGGGGCTCCAGCTGAGACGCTGACCCCCAATGGCAGCTTTTCTGGGACCCCCTGGGTGCCCAAACACCTCTGTCTGCAGAGAGGGTGTCACTGAGGGCCAGAGCTTGAGCCAACTGCTGGTGAAGCCCTGTCCTGGGGGGGAGGGGGCGCTCAGGACCTGAGAATGTGAGGGGGATGGGGGGGCTAGGTTTTGGAAGCCCACTGTCCTGCCCTGCAGGGCAGGGGTGACAACGGGGGTCTCAGGTTTTCCTTAAAGGGGGGTGTTACAGGGAGACGATGAACCCATTTCTGGGTCGGGGATGGGATTTTTAGCTACTTTTCACATGAATCATGAGTCCCTGAGCTGCCTCCTTTATTTAGCTTCTGTGAGCCTCAGTTTCCCTATTCACCCCTCTGCAGCAGCTGCCTAACCTCCTGGGAGTCATTTCTAGGACTTTAGTTGCTTCGGGGGAGGCTTTGCCAGAGGAGAATGGGCTCAGCAAACATTTTGCAGCCTGAAAATGCAGCGACAGCCAATTCAGAATTGCTTGGGGTAACGCGGGATAGAGGTGGCATAAATTAATGAAATCAACAGATAACACCAACCTGTGCTGTACCCACTTCTCAGCCTCCCCACACCACACCGCTCTGTCCCAGCCTCCAGCCTGGCCCCAAGCTTGGCCTCAGACCTTCTCTCCCCACACCCACCCCAGGCCACCCCTCCATTACTCACGCTTGCTTCCTAACAGCCTCCTGCTTCAATTCTCCAGATCTTCACCCTGAGTCCTCCCCCACCCCAGCTTCAGGGGCCTGGACAGCTTACCCAGGGTCTAAGGTGTACCCCCGCCCCCCACTTTGTTAAGTTTTTGGCTCTTTACTCAGCAGGCAGCTCCCAAGCCCCCACCCCTCTCCCCCTGTGCTGGGTGCATGGGGAGCAAAGTTAAGTCCCTACCTGAGAGGAGGCTGGCTCCTGAGGGAAGCCTATAAACAGATCATTACCAGGCAGCCTGCAGCTGGACTACGGCCCAAGGGGGAGGGGAGGGCTGGGGGCTGGTGGGGGGGGGGCTGCCCACCTCTGTCGCAGAGGCTGCCATCCCAGCCGTCCTTGCATGTACACTGCCAGGGTTCCACGCAGAGGCCATTGACACAGCCGGGAAAGGTCACGCACTGGTCACACAGGGGGCCCTGCCAGCCAGGCTGGCACCTAGGGGTGGGGGCAGAGGGGGTGCGAGGGGTACAGGTGAGACGGGTGCTCTGACTGCTTTCTATGAAACCCAGAGGCCTGGGCAGAGGAGGGGGCTCTGCCAAAGGCCAGGCCCGTGGCACCCAGGATGCAAACGCCAGAAACCTAAATGGAAAAGCTCAAGCGGAGGCCGGGCCCAGGAGGGTGCAGGGGTCCCTGAGAGTGGGGGAGCACTGCTTCTGCCGCAGTGGCCTGCAGTGGTCTCATCTAGCCAGAGGTCCACCAGTCACCCCCTTCCCAGAAAGCAGAGAGAGACAGTTGCTGCCCCCCCCCCAGCCCCCTTCTCCCCACTCCCCACCAGCTTCCTTGGGGGTCTGGGAAGCTGCGCCATAGCCCAAGGGCAGAGACCCTCCCCCTGCCTGACACCCTGACTTCCTAATATTCTGCCCTGCCACCCACAAACTGCCTCCCGGGAGCCCCTCTGTTACCTGCAAATATTGTCATCCTCGCAGAATCCATTTTGGGGGTGACAGGCTGGGAAGCATTCAGCTCCTGGGGCACAAGAGAGGTTTCACCGTTCGCCCCGCAAGGACCAGAGGTCAGGGCAGAGCCACACAGCCCCCTGCCCTCCGAGCGAGCGAGCTGCTGCCGGCGGCGCAGGTTTCCAGCCTGGGAACCTGCCTGCCTGCCTGGTGCGGGTCCTGCGCCGCCACAGCCCAGCTCCCCGGGCGGCTGCGCACCTCGCTGCCCCAAAGAAAATACGACACCGCACACCCTAAAGGTCCCGGCGGGAGGATTCGGGTGCCTGGGTGCTCGGCTGCACCCTCACTTGCCGAGTGACTAAGGAGAGCAGGTGGGGAGGTTTTCGGCTCCGGGACAGCCCAGACAGGTTCACCTGGCCGGCTCGCAGGTGAGGTGTCTGGGGTTGTTTTTCTCCCCAAGATGACACGCAGTTTCTCCGGGCGAATTGCCCCGACCCCCCCAGCCCGGACTCTTCATATTATAAGGACTGGAGGGTTTGGGGCTGAATTCTGACACTATTTAGAGATTTTGATACTTTAATTGGCTCCGACTGCGTGCATTTACTTCAACCTGCTCTCCGGCTTTCCAGACAGCCCCCCCAAAAAAAACCACTGGTGCAGTGGGGGCGGCGGCACTGCGGGAGGGGGCAACCCCGCTGTCAGAGACAGATGGCCGCTGCAGACAGAAGTGTCGCAGCCCCTCACCTAGAGAAACGCCGCGCCGCTCCGGAGGGGCTCGCGCCGGACGCCCGGCTGGGAATTTGGGGCTGCGCACGCAAAGTCACCCCCGGGAGGCCGGCCCCCGCAGACCTGGTCCCCAACGCGCCCCCCGGGACAGCCCGTAGCTGCACCCCAGAGCGTTTTCACCGCGGACCCCCCTCCGCCGCGCCACCTCGCATCTCCATACCTCCTCTCCGCGCGCGACACCCCATCCGAGCGCCACTTCTGCGGGGCGAGCAGCGGCTGGGGTCCCGCCGCTCCCCTGCCCCTGGGGTCCCCGGACCCGGCTTCGCATGCGGGGAGGCGGGGGCGACCGGGCCGGCAGCGCGCGGGGCTTAGGGTTAGGCGGCGCGGGCGCGGCGGGCGGAGCGGGCGGAGCGGGCTGGCGGGAGCCGGAGCGCAAGGAATCGGGCGCGCGGGCAGCCGGCGGCCGGAGCGGGGGCGCGTCGCGGCTTCCCCAGAGGGGGCGCGCGCCGGGCGCCGCGGGGCTCACCATGGGCACTGTGGTCGAAGGCCAGCAGGAGCAAGAGGGCGGGCAGGAGGGCTGCGGTCGCGGTCATCGCGGGGCGGCCGGGGTCGCGGTCCCGGGAGCGGCGCGGGCGCAGGTCCGGCTCCGGGCGCCGCGCTGGGTTTCTGGTTGCGGACGCTGAAGGGGGCGCGGGCGCGCGGCGAGGGGAAAGCCAGGGCTGCACCGGGCGCCCTGCGCTCTCCGTCGCTGCCACCGAGCTGCTACCGCCGGCGCGCGCGCCGCCCTTTTCGTACCGCGCCCCCCCGCGTCCCCCGCCCCCCGCCCCCGCCTTCGTGCGCACGGGGCCGGCGCCGGCCAGTCCCGGTGACCCCCGCCCCTCGCAGGGCCGCCCCCCACCACGGCGTCCCGGAAGCCCGTTCGCGCACACGGCGCGCTCTTGGCTAGACGGGCGCAGGTACCCCGCGCGCGCTTGGCGCACGGTCCCCACCCGGGACGGCTCGCGGGCGCGTTCACACGCGCCCGCTTCGCACAAGTCGCGTGAACCGAAGTCGGGCTGGGCCGCGGGCTCCCGGAGAGCCGCCAGGCCACGCTCTGAATGCAGAAGCGCGACAGAAACACCAGGACACTGATCACCAAGGTCCCGAGCACATAAGCCATGATCCTGCACGCGGCGAAGCACAGGTGCCCACTCTAAAGACGCAGACTCTGCCGGTCAGCACGCAGGCACCCGGGGAAAAGCCTAAGAGCCTGGATGCCCGTCTTGCAGCGCCAAGACCGGGAAAATGCAGAGACACTTGTAGCCGCGCGCACTGCCCGACACACCCTGCACACAGACCAGTCTGCGGCCCCAACAGTTATAGAAACAGCGGGGAGGGCACATGCCCAGTCGCAGGCACGCAGAGGGGCGGGCGGACACGCGCTTACGAAACCCTAGGCATCCTTAGACGAGTGCCCAGTCTGTCCACCCCGGGACACGTGCCCAGCCACGTGCACACCTGCACGTGCCAACACCCACCCCAACATAGGGGCACCGGCACACCCGCCGGGACCTTCCTGGCACCCAAGCGCAAACCCGGTGCCTGCTCTCCTCCCACAGAAACTCCCCGGGCACCTACCACATTCACCCACACGCACGCAGTCTCCCAGCGCAGACGCCCGGCACATCGCCGCCGTGTGCCCACAGTGCCCGCACTCACACACACCAGCCTCTCCCAGACAGCGCAGCGCCCTGGCAGGCCCCTTCAGGACTCCAGGGCTGCAGGGCTGGGGTGCCAGAGTCCCACCGGGTCAGGGACCCTTCCCCTCCAAAGGCCCTGTCCCTGGAAAGCCACTAAGCTGTGCTTTGCTGGGCAGCCTCCCTCAGTCCTGTCCCAGGTGCCCATAGGCTTGGGGGGGGGGTGGGCGGAAGGGGGTTAAAGGAGGTAGAATCTTGGGGAGGGGTCCCAGGAGGGAGCCCTGGCCTGTGAGGGGGTCCCCTATGCATGCTTCATTTGCAGAGGCCCCAGGTGCTGGACTGGATGCCCACCCACGTCATGGTCTCCCCTTCCCACCACACAGCCTGGGGCAGGGGCCTCTCTGCCCATCTCACGGACTCTGGCAGGTTTGAGGACACACTTCCTTCCTCAGGGTGGTTGTGGGATGGCAGGCCCGGAGCCCCCAGGCTCACCCGCCCACCAACCCTAAATCGGTGCTTTTAGAAAGCAGCTGGGCGGGCACAGGCCCCGGGCAGAGATTGGAGCTGCTCTGGCTGGCCCGTTGGTGGCTGGAGGGAAGGTGTCACTTTTCTGATTTTCTACAGAAGACCCAGAAAGGGGGGCGGACACTGGGAATGGCTTGGGCCGCAGGCTGGGGGTAGCTACTCAGCAGCTCCGGTGCTGGGAGGTCTTGGGCGGCGGGCTCAGGCCTGGGGACCCGACAGTCCACTGCATGGAGAAGCCACGCCTTCCCTGACCCCTTCCTCTCTTCCCTCAGAGGACCCTGACCTCAGCCTCCAAAATTATCCCATGCAGCCGGCAGATGGGGAGAGGCTGGGTTCCCAGCCAGACGCCAAGGAGGGCGGGGGATCTCGGGGCCAGGCGCGCGGGGTGAGGCCCCCCAGGCAAAGTCACGAGGTGAGGTGCAGACTGCATGGGGTGCCCAGGGGGCCTGGAGGCCATCCAGTGCACCCACCTAGACCCCTCCCTTTCCCAGAATACCCCTTCTCACCCTTCCACTGCTGCCCCCGCCCCTGATCTGGAAAGACAGGGGGACCCAAGGGCTGCTGCCTCCAAATGTCTCAGGCTTAGGCTCAAAGTTCAGCCTCCTGACCCAAAGGCCCCTGCGCGTGAATCCCAGCTCCACGGCCTGCTGCAGAGGGTTCTGGGCCAGGCGCTTGCCCCTGGGAGCCCAGTTTTCTTGCCTACAAATGGGGGTGTCACTCTTGTCCCCCATGGGAACTTGGGTTTTTTGTTTTTTTTTTTTTTTTGTAAATAGAAAACCACTCTACTTACAAGGCTTGGCCCCTTCCTGCCCCCTCCAACAGCTGCTACTGGCCTCCGCGTTGGCTGTGGAAGCTGCAGATGGGGGCAGGGTCCTCCTGCGGCCGGCCCTTCCAGACCCCGCCTGGCAGGGCCGCTTGCGGAGGGGGCTTTCAGGCTGCCCGGGCCCTCTAAGCCAGGGAGCTTTCTGTTGGTTTGCTCTAGTCTCAATAAAGCATTTGTAAATTCAGGAGACCGGAGATTTCTTTTTAGCAAGCAGAGACGGAGAAAGGGTAGGCAGGAGCCGCGGGGAGGGGCGGGCGGTGACTGTCGTGTGCAGGCTTCACGGCTGCAGAGAAAACATGAAAATGCCAATCGTGTCCCTTGGGGAGAAGTCAGCACCGTCTGCTGTTTGCAAGCAGCCCCTGAGGGCTGGGGGGCCGAGGTTTGGAGGAGTCAGGACGCCACCCCCTCACGACCCCCCCAGGGCAGATCCCCGGATCACAGAGGAGGCATGCCCCCACACTGGGGAACGGCTGCCAGGCCAGCGCAGCTCACAGGGGGGTAGCAGGGGCACGACCTGCCCACCCTCTGGGCCGTGGGCAGGGCCAGGCTGGGTCCGGAACAAGAACGGGGTGATGGCCCCCCCGCCCCCTGCCTTCTGCCCAGAGGGGCTCCCGGCTCTGCAGGGGCAGCAAGGGGCCGGCAGGGGCTAGAAGTTTTTTGAGGGAACTAAAGAAATGTTACCTCACCCCTCTGCCTCTCCCACTGCCCCTCTCCAGTGCAGACAGCCCCTGCCCACGGAGCCACTTGGCTCTTGGCTGAAGACAGAGGTGCTGAGCAGTTAGTCTCAGACATGCTTGCGGGGCGAGGGGGGTAGTTGGGGGATGCCTCACCATGACATCTTGCTCAGCAAACCACACCCCATCCCAGCCGAGAAACTCCAAACCTGAGGCTCAGTTTCAGCCTAGACTGGGTTGTGGTTTTTGGAGGTGTCTGCACCCCTATCACACCCCACCAATCCCAGTCCAAGTGGGACGTTATACACAGGGGGAAACTGAGACCCAGTGAGGACTACAGGTACCGCTGCTCCCTCTCCTCCCCTCCCCTCTCTCCCTCCCTCACACCATGGTCTTCCTCTCTCCTTCCAACAGAGGACTTTCTGGGCCCAGCCGAGATGGAGCAAGGAACGTCCTCCCCAAGAAACTGCTCCTTCCCAGACAAACTGAGGGGCCAAAGACCAGGCCCAGGGGCCAGAGACCTAGAACCCTGAAATCCTAAAGACAGAGGGGCGGGGGCCTCCCTGCAACTTGGTGACCGCAATCCCTGGCACAACCCCAGGGCCCTGTGGGGAAGGCAGAGGCTACCTTTGTCACCTCCCCCTGGCGTCCCCCTGGATTTAGATGGGGGAGTGGATAGGAAAAAAGGCTGGGCCTAGGCAGAGGCCATCTCATCAGAGATCCCTCCCAGCTGAGCGAGGACAGCCAGGCCTCTTTCAGAGATGGTGACACTGAGGCTTGGAGCCCACCCCCCCCCCCCAAGCTAGTATACAGGTGAGCTGAGGTGCACCTGACACTGTCTGGAAGCCCAGCAGTGAGCTCTCTGCTCAGTCAGGTGGGGGGGAGAGTGGGAAGACCCTGAGCCCCCTGCTCTGTTCTCCCTCCCTGGGGGGCCCAGCTCAGCAACCTTGGGGTCCCTGGGGGTTCCACATAACCCCCAAGAGACTCCTGGTGACCACCACCCCCATTCTTTCCCAGCTAAGGTTCGTCTTTGGGGAGAGACATTCTTTTTTTTCCTGCGAGGGGTGGGGGGCCCCGGACGGAGGACGCAGGGAAATGAGAGGCGCGCAGGGTACATTTAGGCTCGAGAACAAGGCGGTTTGGTTTCAAGTTCAATCAGAGAAGCCTCTTCAGTCTGAAGTGGTGCTGCGCTCGGCTCATCCCAGGGATGTGGCCTCGGGGGCGCTCGCTGAGCTCGGCCTCGAGGGGCCCGCCGCAGGCGCGGTGACGCGGGGCGCCGGGGGCGAGCCCGCACTTGTCCCCAAGTGCCCGACACAGGCCCGCCTGTGACGCAGCCGGGAAACAGCGGTCAGGCCCTGCCACGGCTCCCTGGAAGGAAAAATACCAGCCAGCGGGCTGCGAGGGAGGCGCCTGGGTTTGGACCCTTATTTAGTGTTGACTTCTGCGGGGGTCGCACCTCTCCCCCAAACAGAACCAATTTCTCATCATCGATGGTAAGATTCAAAAATAGATTTCCTGGCTTCCTTCCTCGCCATTGGAATCGACAGAGATGTCAGGTTCACAAGTCTAATTGTCCACGTCACCAATCACATTATCTTCTTAAAGGGCGCCACTGAGTCATGCTGTGTGCGTGGGGAGCTCTTGGGGTCTCGGGAAGAGTTAATAAGGACTCCCTGCCCTACCCCCACACCTTGTAGGTAAACTCACCCCCAACTAGGAGAGAAGAAATCAAGACCAGAGGAAAAAGGACTCTTTTCATCACCAGCCTGTGGATGCACGCTTTGGCCAAAAGCACAGTCATTCTGCATTCACCAGAAATTCCCAGAAGTTAATTTTCCATAAAAGGGAGGCTCACCTCTCTAAATGTGGTCTTTATTTCCCCAGCGCAGGCTGGCTGAGCGCCTACTGTGTGCTTAGGCTCTGCTGGGGGGAGACGGCAGCCTTGGCCCCAGGGTGGCCCTCCAAGAGAATTGGGGGTCTAAAGCTTAGAGAACTTGGGGTTCAGGTGTGTCAGCCCTAGGGGAAGAGGAGCACAGGGGGAGCCCTGAGTCTGCAGG